TGTTTCACAGTGCTTGCAGAGAGCTGAATCGAGTTGCCTCCTTTACTGCCCTGAGGAAATTTCAAGTCCTGCACCTGGCCCTCAGTAATGAGCACTGCAACATCCAAAACTAAGCAGACCAGAGGAAAAAAAAAAAAGTGGTAAAAAAGGAGAATGCAGAGAAAGTCTCTTGGCCAGATTGCAATATGCCAGATGACAATATTTCCCCCCACTCTTTATTTAGTTTTCTCACACTGCCGTCCTCATTTGCCACTGTAAGACAGATCTGTACTGCATGTTTCAAGCACACAGAGTTAGTGCACACTACCAAAATGACAGCACTTTAATAGTGATAACATGACATCAAACCTTGTTTTAATTTGTGCCCCCAAAACATCCACTCAAAAATACCACATTAATTTTGTTAATTTTGAAGCTCCTAACGTCTCTGCAGTATCCTCTGCTAACAAATTTAGAACTTTAAGTATTGATTTAGATATAAGGAGTTTTTAAAACAGTCAGCAAATGAATACCTAAGTATACTCATGCTGTATATTTAGCTAAATCAGTATTTGTATCTAAAAAAAAATTTCTAATTTTTTTATTAAACCTAATTCTGTATAAAGGTTTATAGGAAACCATTTTATTGGTTCTGCTAAAAAATATTTAAATTGAAAAATTACATGCCAGTCAGCCTTACTTAAGTTTTAATTTTATAACACATTGTATATTGGGAAGCTTTCATGGGATTACCATCGAAGGCTGGATTCCCTTGGATATGTAAAATCATATAGTTCAGAGTGGTCCATTTGTTGACAAATATCTGCATTATATTAAACCGGTCTAATTATAGGTCTAAACAATAGATGGACAAAAGGTATGAAATTAGGGAATGGTTTCTCCTTCTCTAAGCCACACATACGTATGTGCGCTGGGAATTCAGTCTTGCAGGGCATCAGTAGTGTGTTACTGACTATGACTTGAAGTCATAAGAAGTGATGTTCAGACAGTCTACTGAGCTCCACGGAACTGCTGGTGTACATCCTGAGAGAGATTTTCTGTGATTCTACCCACATTCCTTCAGAAACACTGGTGCAGTTACTTTGATAATGGATTGTAACACCTTTCCCCATATTTTCCCAGTATCTTTCTACTCAAATTAAAAACTAGACAGAATCATCTTCTACAGTTACAAATATGCAGATATTGAAACGTGAAAAGTCTCATTTTTGCAGTCTATTCCAAGTCTCCATCTTGGTACCCCTCAAATTAGCAGACTTTCAGCTTCCTTGTACCTCACTGAGACTACGTTAATCTCTGTAATAAGATGAAGGAATTTTTATTTTATGCACAGCAGTGATTTTTGGTTTAACACATCCCACGTACCAATATTTGCATGTCTCTAATACCAAACCCCTTCATTTCTCTGTCACCACTTAAATTCCAAATTATGCTTCAACTACCTTCAGCTATTTTGCAGTCTCTGGAGCATAGCTATTCTGCATTATGGGAGATGTAGTTCACTGAACACATTTTTACCTGAAGGCAGTCATGTTTAATATAAACATTTGGCCTATGTTCTGAGTACCTAAAAATATTTAACTGGCAGAGTACATTGCATAAAAGTAATTTAAATTCATTAGGAACAGTTTATATATAACAGGAAAGCATTTCTGCAGCTCCACAGAAAGCAGTTACCTCAAAAAAATCCATACTCTGCCATTTAAGCACTCTTCATATCCATACGTTCTGCTAATGATTTTTCAGTGGTAAATCAACTTTGCAACATCAACTACTTTCCATTTTACACTGTATTCATGACACTAAAAAAGAATGCTAGTTTTGAAGAACTAAACAAGAAAAGCGGGTCTCCCCTGCTTAGGAGCATTTACCTTTCCACCAAACGTTGCGCAGCTCAGCTTTCAAAGAGTACGTCGCTATCTGGAATATCTTTTCCTGATTTTGCACAAAGCAATGCACAGCACTTCAAATTATGCTTGAAAAGAAATTTACTTACCGATATTTTCTGTGGGCATTGAGACTCTAGTTGGTTCTAAGAGATTATCAGCCAAGACAAAAGCCCCTTCTTCTAACGTATCAAGTAGCATTGTGGCTGCATGGGCTTGTTCTGAAGAATTCATGTCCTTCCAGGACTCCAGAGCTTCAGGCCTGAGCAGGTTGTCCACTGTATCCACAATTGCCTGCATTCATTAGAAAACTATCATTAGGTCTGATTGCCCTAGGCAGCTGAGGAAAGTTTCCAACGTTATCTGGTGACAATTATAATACTTAACTGTCAGAATGATTTACTGTGATTTAATGGCACTAGAAAACTATTTTCAACATAAAAATATTTTCCATCCTCCCGCTGGATTAGCATTAATAGAAGTGCAGTTAGCCACTAGCATTGTGTGGTCTCTAAGTGGTAAACATGCAGATTTGACTCGTCTCTTGTCAGATATAAAGACGGTCTTATTAATGTGCTGAAAAATGTAAAAATAAACGCCAGAAGTTTTGCCTGAAGCTTTCATCTTGAAGTTAGTGTCAAAATGCGTAACTTCTATTTAAAAATACTAACGCCAAAATTGGCATCCTGCAGTTTAGGCTAAAATGACAATAACACTCTTCTGGAAACTTAGCCCAACTCATGCAGCCACAGCACTTTAAACTACTTGTCTATGACAAACTGCCTTCTTTATTACAGGAGGCATGAAATGAAGCTGACTCAGTGGATATAAATTAGCCCAGGCCACTCTCACTCCCCCTCCTGTTCCTGTACCTGTTCATAGATACTTAAAAAGATTACTAACTCCCATTCCTGCACAAAGGTCAGTTAAAAAAGGAAATCAATAGAGCAAACAAGATGTCCACTGACTGTCCCTGTTATCAGTGAAGGCAAAACTGTAAAAGTGAATAAAGCTGCTGTTTTAAAAAGTCTTTCTTGTAACAACTCTATCATCATGTTTTAAGGCTCATTAAGCTGCATATAAAGTAACAGTAAATAAGGAAGAAGAAGAATTCAGTGACATGATTACATTATTTTTACAAAATAATCCAATCAATCAGAGTAATCAGTTAATCAATTGAAGGCAGGCTCTTACATTAATGCATAATGTAGCTGTGCATTGAGTATGCTGTGCATTGAATACGCCATGCATTGCTGAAACACCCTGTTTACTCTGTCCCATTTACCTAGTCATAATTAAGCACATATATAATTTGTTTGATCAATTTAAAAGCATTGGGAATGGAAACAGAACATATTGTACAAACAGAAAGATGTCAGTCTGGAATACTGTATTGGGCAAACAAACGAATAGGAAAAGTTGGTCAAGGCTATTGTCAGAGCAAGATTAATTAGCCTAATCCATTTTAATATCCTCTTTCTGTCTGCACTGTGAGCCACCACGACCTTCCTGGCAGGTGGAAGGTACTTCGAAGTGGCATTAAAGCCTTTTTTCTTTCTCTAATGGGAGACAGAATAGTCAAAATGCTTGCTCTGATACTGCTGCAGCCATTAACTAGAGTGGAACAGAAATTGGTCTGCAGAGGCCAGATTCATTAGTCACCAAAAAATACAGATTGGAGCTTCTAATCTGAGGTACAAATGAATCCTCTGTCACAAAGTGGGAACTCGCTTCATTTGCATAGTGTAAGTCAGCTTTTGATTTGTAATTTCAAGAGGTTTATTAGTCTTATCTAAACAGAGAAGCCCATTTGAGACCTACAGAAAATGACACCATTTGGAAATTAAGGTTGTGCTACGGTTTCTTCTGTATCTCCATATAGCGCTGACAGTATGCATTCATTAATATGAAACGCTTTTTATTTATTACAAGATAATCTAACTCTGCATTTTTCCTGTGGAGAATGATCACCTGCCCAGTAATATTTCTGAGGCATTCTCTCCTCTCAGACAGAGGCAAGCGGGCGGTGGGAAGACCACGCGGCCCCTGTGACGCAGCTGTCGGAGCAACCCCATTACTGCTCTTCTCACACTCATGTTTACTATTGAAAATGAAGGATGAAAACTCAGTCTACTCAAACCGTATCTGCTGGATTTCCCCTTACCATTAAAAAATATTTTCTAATAAAAACCTATTAAAATTACTATTATTTAAGAATTTAATTGCTCTCCAGATCTTTGTCTCTTTTTGTCAAATTTTTGCATAACTGGACATCTCTCATCCGCTGCCTGGGCTACACGATAAAAGACAGAAGCGCCCTGTACAGAGAAATGTCTCTTTAGTAAGAGTCTGAATTATTTTATTATGTTGCACAGCATTTCAAAGTTCTTTTCAAAAATCATCCTTATATTTTATCTCAGAGGGTACAAGTAAAAATCAGTATTTTAAAAGAAACTTTGAAAAAATGTGCAATAAAATTTTTCAGAGTCAGACACGATCTGTTCTAGGACTTTCTTCTCTTCTTCACAGGTGTGAAGTGGCATTACTGGCATTGTATTGCAGAGCTGGAGCTGGGCACTATGGACAACCATTCTACAGCAGATGAAAGAATCTGAGAATCGGGTAGCAATGTGTTACATGCCTTCCATAGAGCCTGGTTAATGGGACATGTGGCACACATTTTACTAGTGAGGTTAGAGAAATGTTTGTCTTTACATTTTATCCTGAAGTCACTGAATCTGGCCTTTGTAACAACTCTTAAAACCGTAAGGAAGAGTCATTTTGCTAGGTATAAGAATACAAAGAACAAAGCAGGCTATGTAAGGTACATTTTTCATGCAAGCAAATTAACTCTAAACAGTCTTTGATATAAAATACTACCAAGCTGAAGTAATTTCTGTTAAGTTGCCAGCTTTTTCCTCTACCCAAAGTTGTATTATGAGAGAGATGTTACTTCCAATTCAGATAATAACCATTTCTGCTCTTTTAGTTTTGAACAAGTTGACGTAAAAAAGGTATAAACTTTGATCTTTAATTTTTTTCCTGAGTGTTATACCTGTGCAAAGCCAACATTTGTACAGTTGATATGGGGCACAATACACATTTATCAAAGACTGAAATACATAGGATCATGCAGCAAGATGATAAAGCGTGGCAGGTTGCTGAAGCAGGGAGAAAGCAGGGTGACAGCACAGGAGAGATACCTTAAGGTAAGCCCTGCATGTCTTCTCTCGTTTTTGGAGCTTTTTAGTAAGAAAAAAGAAAATCAGAAGTTAGACACATTCTGGAAAGCTTCAGAAATATAAAAAAAAATTAGTCTGGTGTTTCAAATCCCGAATTTGAACTATATCCTGGACATGAATCTAGTTTCTGTCCAGCGATGACTGTAAAAAACATCACACAGGAAACATTTTTCCCCAACCTTCGTACAGGTGCTCAGATATCTTTGCCCAACGGTGGGATTTCTGTGAAAAGGTCAAAGGAGAAAATCCCTTTGTGGGCACTTGATCTGTCTCTGGGAAAACTCTTTTAAGGGCAGCTAGGGATTGTAAATAAAACTATTGCCAAAATAAGAGAGGAGCGCATGGAGTTCTCTCTCTAAAGGAGGCTGAAAAAATGTTTCATTTGTAGCTTGTTGACTAAGCTGACACAAGGAAGAGGCCGAGAAATACAGCATTTCCTCTGAGAAAAAGAGAAATGGTAATAACACTTGTGATTTGTATTTAAACCCCAAAGACACGTTTTCTCTGAAACGTTTCTCTGGACATCATTCTGGAGAAAACACTTATTCATCTTAGATACGCATATGAGGGTATTTTTATAAAGATCAATCGTAAGTGATGTTGGCGTCTTAAAAAAGCTAAGAAAGTGCTATTATTCTGCAGGAAGTCAGGTTAAAATAAAACCCTGCACCTATGCAGAATCCCACTGATTTTATTACATGTTCAGGGTTAAAAGGATCACCGGATAAACATGCTGATTTGTTACAGAATTTCTGAGAGCTAATGCCCATTTCCCTCACGCTAGTTATAACGCATTCCAGATTTTAATAAGGGACACAGCTCTTTATTTTAGGACCAGTCAGCTATTGTGAATTATACCTTATCCCCTAAAGAAGGTAATTGCAACTTTCCGCTGTGTATTTACTGCTGTTTTCTCTTACATGTTTATTCCAGAACTATAAGCACACAGGAATAAAGTATAGACTAATGTTTCTGAAAGGAAAGAAATAAAAAAAAACAAGGGCAATGGTTATCCCAGCAGGAGGAGATGATGGGAGGTGTGTACCTTGTTATAACTCCTTCCAGCAGAGTCTTTTTCACTGGGCCGCAATTCCTGCAGCTGAGCGTCCAAAATGTCCACGAGCTGCTCCATCAGTCTCACTGATGAACTAACATCGCCAGCGAAGACCGGTCCTTTGGTGTGTTTAGCCAGTTCATTGGCCAGACTAGCAGCATTTTCTCCACTTCTGATCTGAAATGACAATTTATATTATCTCAGCAGGGTCCCTTGTTCTGCTTGTGGCTCTTAATTCCAATTCCCCGTGTACCTTTGTTGTGGTGAAATAACCATTTGCACATACATTGAAATCTGCAACTAATTGAGACCAATAACGTTCTCTTTATCTCAGAAGATTAAAGGTTCTTAGATCCGTGACACACAAAAGCAGTTCTTAACAGCCATCAAAACCAGAAATCAGACTGGGACTTTTGCGCTAGATCTTCTATTCATCCTCACTTTTATTTTACTGCTATTATCAGACAGTAAGAAATCTATTTGTTCATACTAGTGCTTGAGGCATTTGAAAGTCAAGTAGCCTGGTACTGACAACAAATTATCCAGTTTTCATAAACTTAGTAAATCTCAGTAGGGAGGGAAAACACAGAAAGTGGCTCTGCACTCTAATCATACTGTTATTAATGCACTCAGACAAAAATCTATTTATTACAGTATAATTTTTCCTGAACCAAAAAACCTTGCTGTATATCGCAGTTTTTGCTGTGTGATTTATAATATTTGATTTATTAAGCAAATATAGCTTTTGTTTTTTGAACACCAGTAAAGCTACTTTGCTTTAAATAGCAATGAAAACACATAATCACAGATTCAATACAAGAACTTAGAGAGAGACTGTACAAAAACATATGAACCTAACTGTTGGCCAATGCTTTGCACACAAAGTACTCATAACTCCTTCTACTTTAAATGAACACAGAGTAATAAGACGGCTTCAACAAACTGAATTATAAATGCTCAGAGTTAAAATCCTTAATCATCAGTGTATACCAGATTAAAAGGTTTCAACCAACCTTCTGAGCCAGCTGATTTACCCAGTGTGAGGTGCAGTTGCTAAGATCAGGGCCTTTGGGGTTCCACGTTCCCGTTAAGACCATGCAGAGATAGGAGGCAGTTCCTACAACAGATGTAGAAAACTACAGTGAAATGGAAACAATTTTTCTGCATGCATTCAGGAAATCGGCTACACTGTGCTCCTAAGCAATGTTAAGTTCTGAATGCTGCTAATGGCAGTAGTTGACAATAATTGACAAAAACGTAAGGAACTAATGTAGATTACAAACAGCAATAAAAAAGTCAGTGAAAAGTACCAGACGTTTTCTGCAAACAAACAAAAAGCCCTTGATTTTTCCTGGAACTCATCCAGAGGGAAGCTCATAATGAGAAAGGCAGCTGTAAGTATATTTAACAACAGTCCTCAAGCAAAGCCCTAAAATTTGACCTGGATTCTCAAAAGCGCATGCGCAAGGTAATTCTGCGGCTACGCTCAAATGCTGTTTGCAGATTAAAACTTGACTATTGCCTGTAAATACTGCATTCTCCCAATAACAAAAAATCACATGACAGATTTGAGGTTAAAAAAAAATTCACCATGAGAGAGCAGCACATTGCTTTTGAAATGTCTGCTTGAAATCAAGATACATTTTTAAAGGCAATACCTCGTGTTCCTTTGGGACAAGGGCGTTCAACCATCATTCCTCTTTGTGTCTGAGGCCAGCTAATCCCCCTGGCCTCAGTCGGTTCACAGAATCTCTCTGGCAAAGGGAAAAAACTTGTCACAGGAGGAATTTTGGTTGTGGAAATGGGTGGCAGTGGCTTGGGTCCTCTGCTGCCTTCCTTTGTTCCTCCAGCTGATGTTGTGCTTATGGGACCTTTCTGTGATGTAGTGCTAGTGGTTGACACTGTGGTTTTGTATAGCTCTGCTGAAGAAGTTATTGTCACTGCTGTGGTAGGCACTGCACAGAGAAAATTAGAGGAATAATGAAGTAAATTACTTCAGAATTATTAAAAAAAAAGTTCTTTAAATGTTATTTATGTAGTTTTAAAGGATTTTCTGGTGTCTCCTTTCCTTTATCTTAATATTACTTTTATTGCTATTCTGGGTGCTTAAGATATAACTTTGACCGATTTTTTTTTTTTCACTCCCAGCTCATACCAGTATGATGTTTCAGCACATTCTCCAAGTAATCTCTTCCGTAATAAAAATTGATAGTTACACTTCTAAAGGCTGAAAGGCAGTACTAGTGAGTTATCAGTACGTAACAAACACGCTCAAAGCAATTAAAGATTACTTAATCACTTTTGCAGAAGGAATAACTCAACAGACAGAATCATTTGAATCAGCGTACCATAAACAATGCAGTCCAGCTTTAACAACAAAGGCAGTGGGCTGTAACTAACAAGACCATTTTAAAAAAACAGACCCCAAAACTTCAAGTCACCCACTACACACCTTCCAGGAAAATAGCTACGATAACATCTTCCTACCCGGCAGTCATTCTGCTTGAGAGAGCTGCAGCATGCCGGATTAGCTCCAAACAGAAGCAGTGCCTAGCACGTACCTGGTGTCCTCATGTTTGAACATTTCAGGCCTTAACGTCCTTTTTTGACAAACGAGGTATGAAGACACAATTCGTTTAAGCCAGTGGCAAGTACCTAGTTTAATCTTTTATGAAACACTAGGATCGGCTTAGGCCAAATGACTTCTGCCTGGGACTCGCAGCGGCTCACCCCACTGACCCACGCTGGGAGTGTATCGCTGGAGCTGCTGAGGTACAGCCCGAGCTATGCCATGGTTCTGAGGCTTTGCAGAGATAATACTAGTTAATGCTAGTGGAGATAACAATCCGGAATCCCTGTTCATCACCTTCAAATGTATATTGAGCAACGGCTGAAACAATGCAAGTGAGCGACGTAACTGAAAACAGTTATCATTAATTATTTCCAAATCTTCATTAGTGTTCACAGTGCTTTATAGGCACATGAAAGCACAGATCCTTGTGCTGAGAATAAATATGCTCATATCAAGTATTTTTTAAATCCTAACTGACACAAAAATAAATGAAGCTAATTTTAGGATTAACTTCAGTGGATAAAGTGGCTTTTTTCTCTCTTTTTTTCTTATTCTGCTAGGCCCTTGAACTCTGACTTACTGGACAATGCATCTTCTCTAAATTAAATCATAAACAAAAACCAAAAGAGCTGCCTCGCTTTCTTTCAGCAGATGTTTTTTAAGTTAGTGTTTTGAATAAGATTAACTTTCAAGCAGTTTGGCAGATAACAATTATTTTAAAATCCTTTTTCAATTCTATTTCAGTTATAATATATTAGGAGTCTCAAATATGAATTTATCTTTTTATTTTCATATGAATTTAGGGTGGAGTTTTTGAACATCATGATCTGTTTTTAAAGACTAAATGCAAAGATGTGCTTTTCATCCCTCTCTTGCTCACAAATGAGAAACTTCTTCAGAGGCTGTCTTCTGTTCAGTCTCATTCCTGGCTGCTTGAGTACAGTCTGTGTAATTGTGCTGAACTCGTGGCACAGCCAGCTACTACGAAACCTATTGAAATCCCCGGATCTGTTCTGCAAGTGCTTGCTTGACATCTTGTGAAACTGCTGTAATTTTCTTTTGATTACAATGCATCCAGCCTTCTAGTGCTTTCCCAATTAACATTTGTCAAAAGCATTTGCAACCACTTGCAGAAGTGTCAGGCAATGCCTGCTGAATCAGGTCCTGGGGAATGGGGAGCTGGTGGGGACAGAGAGTGATGCAGGGGACAACCAATTATTACTATCCATCCCCTAACACATTGTGTTAATTAGTACATATTTAATCACTGAAATGTGTATTAGCATTATTGCAATTACTACTCAAAACCTATAATGTTTAGGATAGCTTTGATTCAGGAGCAAAATATCACTGTAAGAATTCATAACAACTCTCTGAAGTTCAGTAGTGAGGTAACAGTTTTCAGAACATACTTTGTGCTGCACCTTGAGCTAAAATATCTTGCTGTCATTAGCAACTTTAGGTAGAATGATTTTAATGCTATCCATTAAAATCAATTTCAAAGCATATCACCTATGATTCAAAAATGACCTGCATAGCTTAGTAGTAGTATATACTTTAGAAACGTATTTATAATCTCACATTTTAGGAGAAAGACTTCAAACTACCTCTCTCACAAAACCGGAAAAAACCACAGATCATTTCTAAGAGATTTTCTCTTGAATTAAATTTAAAAAAAGTAGAAGTCAGTATATTTAAGAATGTACCAGGAAACTTCAGACAGTGCTGGAAGTCTGGGAAAGAAGGAGGTTGAAAAAATAAGAAATGACCGAACACATCACTTTAAGGAATACATCTAGCTTTTAGAAGGCAGATCATTTTGGTTTTAATGACCTGTTGGGGAACTTAATCTGCAAGGCCATTCTCCTTAGCTGCAAGAAGATACATGATAGCTGCCACCACCTGATGTGTCTCATTCTGAAAGCTGAGGGTGACAGCATCCGCTGGCTCCCATGCACTGTCTTGCGGAGTGCTTTACCAATGTAAGACAATGGCAGTGATGATTAATATGCCACAACTAAGAAGAAGGACAAACTCCATGTCGAGGTTATTAACCTATTGTTCCAAGCAGCAGGGGTGAGCCTCTACAAGGCTGAAGATAGGTAGTTTTTGCCCAATGCCAAAAAAGCCGCTTTTACAATGCGAGATTCTATTTTGGCCTTTTTGACTAGGCTTGACATGCTGAGGAGAAAACCAAAACCTCTTCTGCCTTCTTCCTTTTTTTAAGAATAGGTGTGTCTCATTATCAGCTGAGGACAGCCTTTGTAAAATTAAAAAAAAACGTAAGAAAAGAGCAATAGGAAGTAAATCCAAAGACTCAAGTTGAGGGTAATTTACATTTGTTTCATGCAGTTCCTAACAGCTGATTTAAACAGTTATGCATACTATCTGTTTCTAAAAATGAAGACACCACTGGAGTAAAACTTAACACCTGTTTAACAGTGTGATTTCGATAAAAAACGTAACACAATTGCCTAGGACAGCAGGGGAATAGTAACTTTGTTTCCCCAACTGACAGTGAAGAGTAGATTTAGAGAAGGCACACAAGCTATCTAGTATTCTTTGCCAACAGATTTCTACTCTAAGCAGCCATAAAATACGTTTTAAAAAAACAAACCAAGGCAAAACAAAAAAATCCCCACCCAAAATACAACTCTGACCTTAGATTTAGAATTGTGTTGAAATGCCCAGATGATGTGCCACTTCTGAAAATACTAATGGTTCCATTTTCATCTCTGGCATCTAGTTAATTTTAGAAATCAGCTGCATACATTTTTCAGTTAAACATATGCACTTACAGGTCAGGTATTTCAGCGTATTCGGACTCGTGCCCGCCTTCATTTTCAAAAGGTGTCATACACTGAGCTGCCATGTAAAGCAACGGAGATCAGAAATCTGTGCAAATCCAGATTTCCCTGCCTTCTGCTTATTACCGCTGTGCGCCTGTTTTCATGCTTCAGTGAATAGCAGGGAAGTCACTAAGACTCACCTAATTACCTATAGGTTCCAGCTATTATGATAGCCAGCACTCTATTGACCCTGCCAAATACCGTTCAGTTGAAAGCGAATTGTTTACACAGCCATTTATAAATTTATACCCTGAAAATGATAACAAAAACGCCACAAAACTAGCAAAATACCTATGATCAAGAAATGTGCTATCTGGTCCCCATTATGTTGTCTTTACTTGTACAACCACTCTTTAATCAATCTGTAGCGTATCAGATTCGATATAATAGTAAAGATCTAATTTACTTAACAATTTGCTGCATGACTTCGTTGTAGATTCTTGGTGTTATAAAGATTTAGTTGCGCTAGTTTCCTATTATTTCAAGCCCTTGGTGACAGTACTCTCCCAGTTTCTGTTCTGTCCACACTCACAACATCCATATTTTCCTGCAGTGATCCAATAAAACTTAATGATGGGTATCATGGTACAAAAGGGGAGACAACTTCAGTTTGAACAGTTTGCACAGTTAGCGCAAATTGGGATGAGTGTAGATGAAATCCCTCCCTAACGCACTAACACAGAACAAAAGGATTTATCTTCTTTTTGTTACCAAGGAAACCTTACAAGTTATGCTCATATTCACTTGTTAGGGGGAAAATTCCCTTCATTCCTCCTGATCATTTAACTCAAAATTCCTTTTAAAATTCCTATTTCAGCAAGGATTCATTTGGTCCCTTGGAAACCTTTAGAAAGAATGTAACAGGACATATCTACTAAATTTACCAAGGATATAAAAACGCTGGTTTGTTTCAAATTTTTCATAGTGGCTTTTTGCAGGGCCTGATATATTTTATTTTATTTCTAAACTAAGATTTTTATTTTTAAATGTAATTTTCACACTTAACTTTAGAAAATGTGCTCTTCTGCAATATCTGAGTGGTACTTGTCAACTATAGCTCTGAAAACCATTTCTACACCTAGGTACTACAATTCCCATGAGAAGAGAGAAGAAAAAACAACACATGAAGAATGAGGTTAAGGGGGGAGTTCTAAGGGCAGCACACCCCATTGTCAGGGTAAAACAGTAGCCTGGCTGCAGCATCCGCAGTTTTAGAAATCTGAAGAGTTCTCCTGAAGATTAAGAAAATAAGGATACAGGAAGCACATAACATGGACAGTTGCAAGAGGAGAAAATGGTGTAGGTTTGCCGCAAGGGCAAGGTCAACATTCGGTTAATTATAGTGGTATTTCAGATGTTTCAATAGGCAGATTTAAAAATGAAAGAAGCAACAGAGAGAAAAAAGGCAGGTTTGGGGTCATGGATGAGTCCAACATTTTGGCCCTGGGAGCAAATGTAAACCCTTGAGCTCAAAAGCGTGTCTCAAATGTGACAAATTCATCTTTCATATAGGAAGAAAGACTCTTGTTTTTGAAGCACTCGGTAGTTGGAAGTTATGGTATAGACAAGAACTGATAGCCAAGACAGATAGATGGGAAAAAAAAAGAATCAGTGTGTGTCTATATATCATTATTGCTCCCACGGCAACAGAGGGAACACAGATTGCTGAGTTTCCCACAATGGCCCCAAGTTAACCATTCAAACAGAAAAGGCCACGACTTCCAATTTTGAGGCACTGACCTTGTGACACCATTAAATAGTTGATATTAAAGTACCATTGCAAAAGACACTAAAAGAAGGTTATTGTGTTAGGTGACTTAAAGAATGTTATCCTAACACCTATATCTTTGAGTAGATGATTAAGAAATCTGAGTCAACCACAAAAAAACCAAATCAAACCAGAACAGAAACACAGAAATGCCCATCATCAAACGTGCTGAAAATCTGATCTAATTCCATATTAAATAAAAAAATCTGAATGTGTATTACACATAGAGATCCTTTAACTGTGTAACAATAGAAGGATTGATCTTCAATTATACAGACTTTATGCTGAAACAAAGAGGAACTGAGAATATAATACAAATAAAATATAGAGTTAGAAACTGTATAGAATCTCTTCTTGTTTTTATAGCAGTACATCTCAAGGACAATCATATTAGATAATCTTTCCTTTAATTTAGTAGTCTTTAACTACAGTCAATTGGCTTAGGCAAAAGAGGAAATGAACTGAAACATATTCTTAGATCTGCTAGGTACAGATCCATACAAAATTAAAATATTGGGTATTGGCTTTATATAAGGAAAAATACCATTTGTGAATATATGCATCACATATTCAAATAAACCTAGTGTCTTCATATGGTTTCTGTATTTTAAAAAGGCCATAATCAAAACATATTTACTGATGTCATAATGCATTTAAAACCCAAACTCATAAATCACTCAAAAAACATTCCTTCTCTGTCTTCACAGGTGAATGCGCAAAGAGCTCAGATGAGAGGCAAGCACCCTGCAGTGTGCCCTGGACCCCTTCTCGTCTAGGTCTGGTTGGAATAAACCATTTCTCCCCCTGCCTTGCATGCCAGCAAGGAACCCAGAAACATGACGGGGTGCTGGTGGATGCCCAAATCTTTTTCTGATATTAGATGGGATGTGGCCAGCACAGGTACTGTAACTTAGGATCTTGGAGACTCTCTCATAATAAAAACATTATGAAATGTCTTAGTGGAGACCTTTGGTGGTTTACTAAAGCAAAGGAGGGATTCCACAAAGCCTTTTCTTCTCCCCCTGCTCTTCCTTAACACTTTTCCCTCAATGCAATGATTTAAAGATTAGCTTTTGCCACATTCATAGCAGCTGCCTGAACTGCGAAAACTACTTAGAGACTGCACCTCCATTTTCTCCTCTTACTACTAAAGCTTTGGAGAATTTAAAATGCATCTTCATCTCAGTCAAACTGAATGAAAAGTGACATGCATGAGAATGTATGAAAATGAAAGCTATACATGTTTTCTAATTACATAGGTGGGTATATCTCTGCTAAGAGCAGCCCAAAGCCTCCTTGAGGAACGGACTAGCTTGACGTACAGAGAGCAAAGCTTCCCAGGATGGCTGTCCTTGTGGCCGGAGCTCAGTCTCCAAACATCTGGAACCTGCCGGAGCCCGGCCATGTATTGCCAGGGAGGTCTGCAGGAGACAGATGGGACAGCTCTTCACCTGGCTCTGGAGATCATTAATGTATTGGTTCTAAACTGCCTTGTTCTGCTGTGTCTTAGGTACTTTTGTACCTCGGAAAAGCTGTATGTATGTTGATATAGTTGTGTGCACACTACGTGGTTTGCACTGCTGTGCATGAATCAGCCTCGCTGAAGCAGGATAGCTACTTTCACGTGGAGAGGCCATTATTACTTCTTTTTTGAAGTAGAAAAAATGGCTGCTAAACATGCATACCAGTTAGATGAGAGAAGTGAAGTGTTACCTTCATTGCTAAAGCAGCTTATCAACATTCTGTTCCTTGCTGCATGCATCTTCTGCCACAGAGCATTTCTCTTGGTATCTACTCTCCCCTGCAGATGTTAATATGTGGCTGTGCCTGTTCATATCATTTTTAGGGATTTCTGAGACCTAAAGACCTCCGTTTTTCTTTCCTTTTTTGGCAGTTAGTGTCCTTCCTTTTAGGTAGTTGTTCAAACTTCAAGTGAGCTGAATTGCAATTGTAATGGACTTAGCGAGAAACCTACTAAAAAGAGGTTGGATAATCTTGTCTAACCCGGCATTAGAAACTGTGAAAATAGGGTTGCAGAAAAATATTTATGCTTGGTATTGCACATTGACCCCATACATCTCCTCTGGGACCTCCCAGCACACATCATTCTCAACTGCTGGCGCCAAGAAGTTAAAAGGTCTGCGTGTATGCTGTAATCAATTCAGAAGTCAGGTAACATCGAACGGATGGGAACAGGCTTCTAGCTCAGCGTGAATGAACTCAAACTTACTTTAGCTATAGACAGTCAAACTGACTGATGGTATAAAGTAAATAAACAATTCCCCAACTCATTCTCAAACACAGAAAAGCTAAACACTTGTATAAAAAAAAAAAAGTACAAGCCTGCAAACCAAATAAAATAATTCTCTCTTCACAGGTGCTGCAAATTTGCGTTGCACCAATGTAACGCTGTACTGCTCAGCACAGTGCAGACAAACGACCCCTCCTTGCCTTTCTGCCAAGACTAAGTCTAAGAGCAAAGATATGGTAACATCTGAATGGAAGTACAAAGAGATTAAAAATGAGAAAAAACAAATTCTTACCTTGGGCAGGATCAGGTGGGCCAAACTCCAAAGAATATCGCAGAATGAAGTTGTTATTCCACACGTACAGCTGGTTGTCTCTGGGGTTGTAATCCACTGCGGCGATGTACTGGTACTGGTTGGGGAAAGGAACGTCCACGTGCTCGCCTCTGCTTAACCTGGTGTTGTAGATGTAATCGATGGCGTTCTTGCCGGTCTCGCTCTCATTGTCCTGATACACTGACCGCACTACGTACAGGACACCACATATCATGAAAGCATTGGATGCTGCCCGTTTGTCGTATGTCGTTTCCCAGGTGGCTTCGAAACGCAGGGTGTAGGGGTTCAGCTGGCTAATTACTATCATCCCGTTGTTTTGCTCTGTAGCATAAATTACCCATAAGCCATTTTCATCAACTGCCAAGTCAATATCAGTCTTTCCTCCCCATCGGTATGGAGAAGTGTCATGGTAATTAGCATAATTGATTATGGCCTCTCCACTCTTAATTCTAGTCCTCAAGTCGAATTTTACTATGTTCCTAGTTCTTTCCTTGTTAAAAAAGACAGCGCCATCATACACTACAAATCCAGTACCATCCACTCGATTTGGGAGTTTATATGTCGTCTGCTGGCGTCCATTTTGGAAGTCCTCTAAAGAAGCATATTCTATCAAAGTATCGGTGCGATATGGAGTCCATGGCATGAAGTATATTTTATCTGCAGCCTGGAGAGGATCTTTGCACCAAGCACCTGCTTTTTGTTCAGCTTCATATAAATACGGTGAGTCCACAATTGCTTTCAACGTCCCCGGGCAAACAAAAACTAACAGTCACAGAGAGAAGTAAGACAAGAATTACGTCAAATTAAGACTGTCTCATAATAAAAAGAAAAAAACAAAGAAAAAAAAGGTAGGTAAATCATAATGACTGTGTCAGGAAGAAAAAAAATCAATTTAATTGGCACTAGATTATACCTTATGTTATAATTAATGCAATTATCACCCTTTATCATCCACTTTTCTTAAAGTTACCATGTTCTTGCTGTACCAGTATGGAAAGTGGATGGGAACTGTTTTCACTAGTACAGACCAAGGCTCAATGGCATACACAGACAGCTGAAAATGTAGAGCTACTCTTGCATTTTCGTCTTAGACTTTTAGTGAGTACGCATTAACGCTCCAGAGCTTTTAACTGGTGTGCAGCAGTGTGCTAGGTCATTTCAGTCCAAAAAAAAATCACATCGACTTGTTTAGAACTTTAAGAAGTGGTGAGGCTGAAAAAGGAGGTGCCTCGATTAAAAATAAAGGAACAAAACAAATCATCAGGTATATAGAGAAAGCAATTAGGAGCAGAGAAAACAAAACACAACCAAAGCAATGAATGAAACAGACCAGGAAACCCTGTAACCATGGCATGCTATGGAGAGGGTTCTGGAAGCCAGGCAAGATGACACTCGATTAACAAGAATTTACCCAAGGGTGAGAGAAAGAGAGGGAAAGAAAGACAAAGAGAAAGGGAGAGAAAAAAGCAAGGGAGTCTTCCCTCCAGCCCAAGTATTTCAGACACTATACCCCGCCACCTATTTTAAGCAGCCAAGTCACTTTATTGCAAAGAGTCGACTTCTTTATGAGGTGTACTTATGAGATCCTGCTGATTATCATAATATAAGAGTGTTGTGGGGAGGGGAAGGGAAGAGGTTAACATCCATAAGGCACATAACAAGGAGCTGGGGTTTGGACTGTATACGTTATTTACCTTTTTGCTCCACTTCTATTTTAAGCATCGGAAGAAAAATAAAAAAGTGCAAGGAAAAAAGAAAGAAGATTAACATAAATTGACTATTAATCTAAAGATTAAATTAGTAACAGACGCTAAATATAGGGAGAATAAGAACTGCACTATATTGGATAAAGAGAAACAGACAACAGGAAAACCTAGCAGGAGAGAGATTCTACAGTTACACAAGTGAACATGGATCAATCATTTTAGTAGATTAAGGAGGCAATACAGATATGTTGGCATGTAGTTTCACTTAGTGAACCTGAATAAATAATGAATGACTTTACTAATGCATGCTATACATACTCTTCTTCTTCTCAAAGCATAATGCTATCAAGTTGGTTTTTAAGTGACACATTGATTTATCATATATGTGCGAGTGCACATATACATATTATATTAATTAGATAATTATAAACCCAGAATGTAGTATATTAATTTTATAGGCTTGTATGTGTGCTTACTAAACCTTCCCCCATCTTTGCCCCAGACATCCCTCTGCTTTTCTTCCTTGTAAAGAAAGCAGTTTGCATCTTTTAGCTCTCCTTAGGCTTTATTTTATTTTTTTTCCTGAATGTTAATCTTGAGAACTTTTGCCACTTCTCAGTCTATAACTGCAAAATCAGACTAGAAGGAATAAGCAAAAACATCTAGAAAAAAGAAGCAAAAGCACAGTAAGCAAGAGGAAAAGAGAAGAAAAAATTAACATTTAGCTCATTCAGATATTCTCCAGCATCATCGATTAAGCCCGAAACAGCAAGCTAGTATGCAAGGACAGTCATACTAAGTGTTTAAAACAAATATCCATCCCGCCACTGTACATGGAAAATATAAACCGAACCCGATTAACAAAGTTGTATTACTACAGCAATTTTTCCCCAAGGAAGTTTTAAGGAACATATTACAGGAAGTCCAGCTAGTAAATAGCTTTCCAATAATTATTTGCAATAAAATCTATTTCATATACTCAGTAGCCTTTGAAGTATGCTCCCTCAGTTTCATAAAATGACCTGGAAAATGACAGATGTACCAATCTGTGTAACAGTAGCTGCTGATACCAAGGAAGTGTATCAGAACTATTTGCACAGCTATTACATTTTCAGTATTAGGGTATTATCCTGAAGAATGTATTTGTATGTTTCATATAAAGTTTTGGATTTTCAGTTTCATTTAACAAAATTACATATGATTATTTTGAGCGAATGGTTATCGGCTGAGCCGATCTAGTGTTTCTTTAGGGAACAATTCAAAAACTTTATGGGGGACTGGGAGGGGGTTAATATTCTCAAAATGAGCAGTAGTTTTCCTATCCTTTGTTCATTCATACATCTTTAGGTAAAATACTTGTTTTTCTGCAATTTGTAATTCTTGAGTTATCCAAGTAAACAGAAGATGTATTCTGAGGTGAATTCCTGGGTTTCACAATCAGTGCTAATGACTTTCAGATGATTCTGCTTGTGAACTTTTATTCTCGAGTTTATTCCTTGCCAAAGAGCAATATTGATATTGTACCTGCTTAGAATTAGTAACAGGAGAGGGGGAAAAAGATAGGGGTAACTAAAATCATTACTGGCACGTCTGCTCTGCGTGCATTGGTGTACAGCTGTACATTTTTCAGGGACAGATGGGCTTATTGAAATAAACAAATGCTGCAAAGTCCAATCAATACAGACAGAGAGAGAATAAAACACTTTAAAACGTTTTCTATTGAATTCCTCAGTCCAAAAAAGGCTTAAAATAAAAATGCACAGATGTACAGAATGGTACTTTTGATGTTCTTCTTCATAAAAGGGCTGACTTCTGTTATTCAGTCGAAGTGTCAACATACATTGTGCAGCATAATTGAGAGAAACGTCAAGTACGGTATTCTCAATTTCTTTGTAATTTAATCAATAACACTCTTATTTTAGAACAAAGCAATGCCTATCAAATTTGTCTAGAATTTTAGTTTTGCTGGAGATCCAACTGAGTATCTCAATAGATCTTTTTTTTTTTACTAAAGAGGATTAGAAAAACATCAGCAACAGGTCTACACTTTGAGATGCAAAAAAGGAAGCTTTTCATTAAGTACTTTTTTATGAGGGCGATGAATACAGAACCGAGAAAAGGCTCAATCAGTATGTATGATCAGCAAAGCAGCTATGTATTTCTGGAGGCCAGCAAGACATAGAGGAGCTCATAAGCTGCATTTTGTACAAGGGTGACACCAACTCCAGCGCGTAAGAACTCCCAACTTTTACCACAAAACCTGGTATGATTGCTATTTATAATCTCTCATGGACTGAAAGGTGCCACAGTGAGACACCGCAAATTTTGCAGTCTTGCAGTCACTGAAGATGAAGTTCAGAAAAAGTAAGAACCATAACTGAACTTTGGTTAGAAGTGCTGTGATCACTAAAAACCTCCCCTCCTAGACCCACAAAAGCCTATCCCACCTTCCTAATAAGTCTCTTATGCTGGCACAGCTGCTATTTGCAAACCTAATGATTTCAGTCATTCTGTATGTTTAGATATGGAGCACTGGAATAAGGGAGAAAAAAACTAGACTTGATAACTGGAGTTCATCAGGCGTCAAAAAAAGAGACTTGGAAAAATACCAGGATAGGCTTTGTGGGACAGGGAAGAAAGATGGTCAACAATCAAAATGGCTACTGAAGCACAATGTGGTTTGAAATCAAACTTCAAAAGTGATTTTAATAACTGGCAACCTTTTTGATGACTGCTGGTAATGACAGGTGACGCCTCTTACAGTTCTGGAATTGGGCATAGTGTCATCACTGTACATGCTGCAGTTGACAAACTCCAAAACTCACAGACTTTGAAAGACAAGAAGTATCCAGAATCCTGAGTTATGATAGACACAGAATTACATAATTCCAAGGATAGGCCAATGCAATTAACAGTAAACAAAAATAAACATTTTAGAAGTAGAATAACTACACGTTAGAGTACAGGGTAGGCCGCGCTGTGGCACTATACTTCTGAAAACTGGAAAAGAAAAGATTCCTGTAGATAGCAATACCCAATTGGTAGAACATATCCACACTTCTCTTCCTAAAACAGCATAAAAAATTATGTTTGAACATTATTTGCATTACACTTTTTCTCTATGAGCTAGCCTACTGGAACTGGAAACGTAACCTCTTGTCATTTGACTGACCTCAGATGCACTGCCCTCTTTCTGAGAATTTGGGAATGAAAATAGCGCTAAAGTAAAAGTGATCTTTGTGGAACAAAACTTTGGTTAGATTGGGGTAAGACATCACTCCTCAAAAGTGGCACGAGAAGAACGGTTACAACAAGCCACCGGTACTACACACAGGAGGAATGGTACTAGGGATCACTGTATGCAGTAGGCTTCCAATCCTACAAATGGTACAGAAAAAAAATCAGCAAGCAACCATTTCACAATGACATAGCAGAAATGAAGAAAAAACAGATGATCTGTGTTTGGCCTTTAACAACAGTGAAGGTTCAATGTGGTGAAGCAGTACAGAGTAGTAGTTCAGTTTAAGAAGTCTAAATTTTAAAATTGTGCAGTAAACAGTATGGACAGTTTTGACATAGCTTTGCTTATGCCAGAACTCATTTCCTTCCTTTTTGGATATATACTGTCACCACAGTGTTTTTGCATCTCAGACTTGGCCTGTTTCCTGTACCAACAAAAAATGTGACTTTGGTTAAGGATTACTGCAGATCAAGAAATTCACGCTTAATAATAACTTAAGGGAATGATGAGTGCACTGCTCAAATTCCATTGCAAACACAGCTATTTCTCTGTTGAGTTACGGGACGAGGGAGAAGTCACTGCAAAGAATGACCTTACAAGAAAGCAAAACCAGTTAAGAGTTTCGAATCTGCAGAACTTTTATAAACATGCATGCATGTAAATGAAAAAAAGCATTAATTATTGCAAGGAAATAAGAAGTACGTCTAAAGCTACTGAATTCTGGCATTAGAAAGAATATTGTACAAAACTGCTGAAGTAGCTGTAACTTCAAATTTTTCTGTCAATACAATTTCAGTATTTACTTTGTTTTCAGTGAAAAATTTTGTTTTGGCAACTGATTCAAGGCACAATTCATATTTTCTCTTCACATTAAAAGTGAACATTTCTTTCTCACTCTTTTCCCCATTGTTTTTAAGAACCAAGTTTGAGTAACTTACTGATTAATTATTCACTCTGCATCTGCGTTCACTTAAAATGCACCCCTGAAGCACAAAGTCCTCTTACAATGTCCAACTGGGGCATTTGCCTCAGAGTGTCAGTGTTGGGTTTTGCTGTGCACCCGAAGTCACCACAACAGCAGGTAGCCGTTCAAGTAGATCATGATTAAAATTGAAGTCAATTCCTGCTTTAGAAGTCTGTGAGCCAAGCCAATTTGTCAGCAACTGGTAGCGGGCAAAAGTACAAATTTCTATCTGGCCTATTGAATAGCTAATTCGAGTTTGTTTTCTGGAAAAACAGTAGCCTTAAAAGCCAAACACTTAAGAACACAGACAGACACTTGGCCAGCATCACACCATGGCTTCCTTCCACACTTCGTGAAGCTAATTGGAGGCCCTAGTCTGCAAGTGCTCTGCATGCATAATGGGTCTGTGGGCCATAAACATATGCTTCTTTTCCATGTAACAGCACTCCAGCTTCAATTGTGAGGGCCAGAGGAAGTGAGCAAGAATAAAAAGATTATACTTACTGTAAGGAACACATTCATACTGAACTTCTAGATATTTGTATGTTCCAGGACAAGGATCAGGAAACACATCTGACCCAGTAACTACTATACACTGTGTTCGGTTGTTGCACCTGGAATGGGAAAAGAAAGCAAGCTAATTAATTTAAAATTACATTTAATTTGCAAGTTCATACTAAAGTACTATATGCAGTGCTAACTCTCTTCACACTCGGGCAGTCCAATCCGTAAGAAAACAAAGTTAATTAACACTAGATCAGTCAAAGTCCATAAATAAGGCTTCAAGACAATATTTCAGTTCAGGCTTTATACTTTTAAATTTGGAGATCGTATTATCTCAGATGTCACTCGTTCCCACTGGTAGATATAGCTGTCCCAAATATATACTGATTTGATACTACTGTTCAATAAAATCAAAGCAAAATGCAACAATGATACAAAATGTAAAAATGTGTGATTTTGAACAATGTACAATAAACAAAAATGAGCAATTCTTTCCATCTTTAGAGATGTACACACTGCTGAACAATTTTACATCTTAGAGAGATTTTTGTTGTGATTCAAGGAAATTATTTTGGTTGGAAGAGTTATTGTAGGCAAAGAGCATTAGCATTTCCATTTTAATTATTTTAGGAGCAATTGGTGGACTCTAAGCTTCCTCTGTTAGGTTACAGGAAGAGGTAAAGAATGACCGTCTGAGGAAGTAAGAAAAACAGTTAAAAGGAAGAACTGTGAGAAAATTAATTAAAATGTATTTTAGAGGAGTCTAAATACTGAAACATATATCTGATTTGCTTAACAATGGAAGCCAATGCATTTTGATACAAAGAACAACTTTATTACAAATCATGAGGGTCTACTGAATTTAACGTTTTCTGAAGTTTTTTTTAATAATAATAATAGTAATAATAATAAAGAGATTTTAGACTACTATTCATTCTTCCAGAAAAAAAAAGTTACCTTAGAAGTTAAAAGTGGAAAAACAATCACCTACCCCTGATCAGATGGTCAATACGTAATACAGAAAAAATAGTCAGAAGGAAGTGGAAGAAAAAAAAGAGAAGGTCAGGGAGTTTGGTGACTAAAAGAAAAAGAGCTTGGCTGATCTTCTCAGGGGTTAGTTTTGTTTGTCAGCAAACTGAATAACAGAAATCTGAACTTAAGTAATAGTCTAGCCTTTGACTCCAGCTGTACATCAACTTTTCTATTACCCTACTACTTCCCACACTCCCTGAATACCACATCCCAAGCTAAAATAGTCTATCTTGTATCAACAGCTTTCCACAGCTGTACATTGCCAACAGGTATAAGAATAATTCACGCTACCTCATAAAAGGTAGAGTAAGCTACATTTGAAGAACTGATATAAATCACTTTCCTTTTTATACACTCATCAAACTAGCACAGAGCTGGTCAGGACGTATTGTACCTCTTGCTGACCAAACTTGGCAACAACAACTCTTCTGACTTTATCAGTTAAATCTTATTTTCTTTTTCCTTTTTTCTTTTTTTTAAGCTACTTATTTCTAGCCTCATAAGGCTCATAATTGCAGAACTAACTGGAAATAGCCAGGGATTTCTGTATACATGCACAACCATGGATACAGATAGATGGTGAGGAACTCACCTGTCACCTCTGTGCTGCTTGTGGCAGTGACCTTCCAGAGAGCACAGGCAGGTCCCTGTACAGCTATCGCACAGGTAACACCGCACCACTCCCAAAAGTATGATTATTCAGTGCAACAGCTTGTGCAGTGTATTAGGGAGTCTAGAATAAGTATGACACATCCAATGGCTTTCAGACCCATGCTGAAGTGATGAAATGTGCACCCAACTTGCTGAGAAAATCACTGTACTGAATCTCTAATACTGAAAACATACAACACAGCCACTTTTTTGTACTCACACAAAGGTCAAAGTGATGCTCTTGTATGTGTTGTGTAGGAGGAGGCTATAGAAGCAGGAGAAGGCAATATGGCCCAAAACCTCAAAGGTATCTCTGTTCTAAGCCCTGTATGGGTTTTTTTATGTATCACACCTCAGGCCAGACTAACCAGCACGAGAAAACCTCAGATGTAAGATTTTGTAATTAATTTCTTTACATTTCTTTCTGTTTCTTTAGTGAAAACCTTATGCTGAAGCCAAAATAATTCCCACAAAAAGACTTTGTGTAGTGCATCATCCAGTATAATGGTTTCCACAGCTTTGAGCTGAATGAAAATTTCATTTTACACTTGAATGAGCGGCAATTAAGAGGGAAATACTGATTTGTTGCAAAATAAAATGGATACATATTGGAAGAAATTGCTTAAGAATGAAACTGATGAAGGTCATATTTAGCTGTGGAAAAAAAAGTTTTGCTAGCAATATTTGTAAATCTTACGAAAAAGATGGGACTCTTGTCTCCCTATGAAAAGTTGTTTTCTTCTCTTTCATCTTCCCCCCAGTGAAAAGACTCATACTGTTGCCGTCAGTCAGGAAACTGAGAAGAACTTCATGCTAGCTTGTATCAAAAGGATGTATAAAAATAATTCAGAAGAAAATGCAGTATTTTTTATTTTGTACAGTAAGTGCCAGTGTCAAACTTCAGGCACTGAAAGACATTTACAGGAATTTCTAAAAACTTTTGACTATTTCTTTATGCAAGACTTCACCTGCTGTGCACATGGTCACCTTTTGCTCACCTTTGGCCAAAATGAAGGAGACCCCAATTCCAAACCAACGAGCTATGCCCACTGCTGCAGTACACAGCAGTGCTACAAAGCACACCACCACCACCTCTCCATGTACTTGGGTTACTTGGATAACTGAATGAATAGAAGTATTTGTGCTTTAAGTCATAGCTTTTGACATTCACATCACTGATTTTGCTGCATTGCTGGTTGCATTTTATAAAACATGAGTAATTTTCATATAAGGTTCTGATTTTCATGCATTTCTAAGATTTCAAACTAAAGACACTTGATTAAAATATTCACATGTGAAAAAATGGAAATTTCAGGTAACTATTTGTTACACAGTTAGTGGTCAAATTTCAATTCCAGTGAAACCTTCACAAAAACCCAACAGCAGCAGCTGTCAAACACAATTCATGGGTTACAGAGAAGAGATGAAGAGTAAGTGGACTTCGTAGAGGTAGTTCTGAGACAAGCAATTCAGGGAATTTACACTACTGCGATTTGTTCTCTGGATAAATAAGTCTTCTGTCTGCTGCGTTGCGCGCCCCCCCC